GGAAAGACGGAGAAAAAAAACAGAAAGGAAACGGAAAAGCCAGAAGGCTCCAAGGCTGATCCTGATTTATCGTCCCGCGACGCCGATCGAAGGCGTCCGTCGGCTCATTTTTAATATGGCGGGGAGAACGACTGAATAATTCATGGAAACCGTTCGCTCGGACGTCGGTGTGTAACGCAATTTCGCGGAGACGCGTCGGAACCGATGAAAGTTTACCCGGAAATGAATGAAATTTCAATTAAAACCAGTCTTCAACGGAAAAACTGTTCCTGTGGGATCGGAAGATCAAAGCATACAAACACTTTCGAAGATCTCGAGCTTCTGAATGTTAATGGCATGAAAAACTTGTCGCAATTAACAGTGAAACAATGGAACAGTCAGATATTCGTTACTAACTGCATACATTTCTAATCATTCCGGATATTTAATACTCTAAGGACACACTGATTGCGAAATAAGAGAATTAAAGGCAGCACGGTGGTTCTAGCGTTAAAATCGCTGACACCGATAAAAATCCCAACGACACGATCTTCGTGGAAAGCGAGAGTTCTTTTCCGCTCGTTATCGGTAGATTTTCATCGATACGATCTCCCCTTCCGCGGCGCGCTCGCGAGAGGGTGGACTGACAAGAAAATCTACCAGGAAATCCAGGGCTTCATAAACCGCGGAAACGCCGGCTGAAGAGCCGAAGGACTTCCTCGTCGATGAGCAGTGGATAAACAAGGACTTAGAGTGTCAAAGACGAGTCGCTAGCGATCTTCGTGAAGCGGGGTAAATAAAGAATACTCTCCATCGCCGCGCGGTGCGTCGGAAGGACGACTGCCTCGAATGGACGATCTTTTGAGAAAAGAGGATAAGATGATCAGCTAATCATGGATGAAACTCTATCGAACATATGCTACTCTCTGCAACGAAGGATTCACGGTGCATTCGACGAAGCTTGAACTCGAAGATCATCGACGAGACATTCGCGACGCCCTAAGGCGCTCAGAGGATTTCAATCGGTAGAATCATTCGTTCTACAATCCAAAAAGGAACAGCGCCTAGCCAGGTGCAAGGAGAAGCTACCAAGAAGAATCCTATTCGATGGTACCTTCCGAAGAGTACCAAAGCGAAACGATAATGGAGCATTCTCGAGCGCCCATCTTGCTTATAATCCGATGCATGTAGGTACCGCGGTATCGACGATTCCGATCGACAGGACGGAGAAGAAACGGTACGGAATTAGAGCAACGACTCGAAGAGAAGTTCGTCCCAGTCCACGCATCCTCGATCGCTCGACGATCCCCGGGACTCGGAACTTCGTAGGGCCCAAGCATGGATTTCTCGCGGGGTTCTCGCCGCGGCCGGTTTCGATACAGACCATCAGTGTCGTCCGCGTGACAGACAGCAGCTGGTGTGCATTTTCCTTGGGCTCGGCGCGCGGTAAAACTGTCCTCCACTCCTCGGTCCCACGGAGAGATCGCGGTCGATCGCGGAACAGGATCCGAGAGATCGGTGCGAACGGTCGACGGTGTACCGCGCGTATTCTTTACCGTTTTCGCCGCGATACGATCGGTGTCTCGCGGGTTTTTGCGCCCCTTTCCGGCTGGACAGGGGATGGTGTCGCGTGTCAATGGAGAAAAAAAACGTCGTCTCCGTGCACGGCGGCACACGCGTGTTCTACGATGCGCGCGTCGCGATGCTCGGCCACCGACTGTCAGCTGCGTCGCGACGGGACGTCGGCGCGACGGCCGAACGCCGCCGAGGACGTCCGAGGGCGGCGAAACGACGCCCGGCGTCGACCAGGAGGAACGCGAGAAACGAGACCGGCCGACCAGCCAGCGGACGCGGCTTCGCCCGCGAATTAGGCTAAAGATTTCGATTCGTTTGATTGAACGTGCTCGGAGAGCTCTGCGTGTTACGATTGGGCCGCGGGCCTTTGCGTAGATTCAAGTTTTTAAGAGGGAATGGAGTGGAGTTGTACTTTGGACGAAGCTGGACTAATGATTTCGAGAATCGTGATTCTCTGCGGGGCTGCGATGGAGCTACTTTAGTGTGGAATGGAGACTTGTCAATGCGATTGCGTTGAAGATCTTATTGAATGATGGATATAGGTAGAGTGTAATATTGACAATTTTGATTGAAGGACTCGTGAAGAATAGTGAGCGGGTATATACAATAATCTGAAGAGGATAGCTAGATAGATAGATAGGTAAATTGATGGATAGGTAGATAGATAGATAAGTAGATTCGTAGCTAGCTGGATACATAGCTAGATAAGTATATTGGTAGCCAGCTAGACAGATAGCTGTGTAGATAGATAGATGATACCACTAGATATATCCCAGAGACACTCGAAAAAGGTGAGTCAGTGAAAAGGGATTCCTGAGGAATCAAGTTTGCTAGAGTCTGAGAGAGCAGCCACGGCCGAAAGACAAATTGAAAGATCGCAAGATAGCGGCGGGGGTGGGTCGCGTTCGCTAATGAAGCCAGCTATGAATAAGCTGAGTTGCGAGCTCACGGTGGCGTGGCTTTAATTTAGATCACAATCGAACAATAGCTCGGATTATGTATTCATTATCTCGCGGAGACAGATTTATTCAGCTCCGCATCGTTATCGGCCCGTCCGGGCCGGGTCGAATGCGTCCCCGTAAAAATCAACGGGTTTCCACCGATGATCAGGGCTCGCCAGTGACGCGGCAATGTATCAAATCGGACTGTGCGTCGCGTCCGGTGGAACCGCTGAAATAGCTTATCTAGTCGGCCGGATCCCATTGCATCGGGTCGCGTTTGATGTCCGCTGCAAACACTAGCTTACAGGGATAGGTGTTACAGTTATGCCAATAGCGGATCGCGATTGCGATTAGACTCGAGGTTAAACCACATGAACTTCCAGCGAAACTGAGAGCCTGACACCTACAAACTGTCCTCCAAAAGAATCCAAATGGAAAAGTATCCTCGGAGAACTGAAGCCTCTGAACTCGATGAAATTGTCTCTCAATGATCCCATCTCCTTTCTTCGAACCAATCACGAAGACCGCTGAATTCGTTGAAGTCCGGGACCAGTTCCACTTTTAGCGTTCCTTCTTCTACGTGGCATCTGATAAATACACCTTGTATTACTTCACGAGAATTATGTCGCAGCGAAGACTGATCTTCACAAAGAATACACGCTCCGAGGCATCACGCCACTCTCTGACGTTGGATCCGCCCATTTCTCTTCGCGGATCCTTCGTTCCGTTAGCCTGGCATTATTCCCAATATTCCGAGAAAATCGGATCCCCCGTGAGACCCGATAATGAGAGCACTTCACCGGCAACGGATCAATCGTCGCGGTCGCCGAACGATTTGAAAAACGAGCGCGGAATACCTGGACAGCGATTTCAACCGCATTGCGGCAGATCGACAGATTATGTCGCGCGGCGGAATCCGAAACATCGAACACCCGGATTTCGGCCGAACGAAAGGGGACACGCCGCCGTCGTTATTCCGTGCCACGAGCGGCAATTAGGGATCGCAGTTCCTAAGTCGAATCGGTGGTAATTAAGACGCGCGTTCTTCGAGAAGCGACTTCGCGCGACTGCAGAATTGTTCGGACGGGAACGTTTAAGCGGTCGGACGCGTCGCGCCGATATCTCAGCTTCAATTATCGCCGACTCGGAGATTCGGAACTGGGAATGAGCTAATTAAGAACGATGGGACAGGCAATCGCGTCGATTCGCGCGGGTCTCGCGATCGTTTCGTTCTAAGGGGCCAACCGGTGCTGTTCTCGCTTCGAATCGGACGGTAAATAAATTATCGCTGCCACCAATTAGTCGACTATTAACCAACGACGCGGGACGATACGCGCGAAGAGTTACAGTCGCGGTGAAATGCGACCGAACGAATTTCAGAATTAAATTCGAATCGGTTCGGTTTCACCTCCAATCAACGGGTGCGAAGGCAAATTACTGCGGTCGTGTAACTCCGGCCAGCGAGTGACTAACCATAAAATTGGAAGAAGGTACGCGCAATTATCAAACGCATCAGTGAAATAGGTACATTTACACGAAATTGGGAAACACATTGCAAATGTTCATCGCTCGGAACAGTATACGCAGTGGTGTTAATGTCCATAAAGTTTCGGAGGTAATAACGCGAAACGCAAAGTAGCTTTGTATATCGAATCATTTCGTTTCTGGTTAAAATGTGCTTTGTATGTACATAGCGATTGTTTCACTACGAACTTTTATGCAAACCGAAAATTTATTTAAATTCACGTAATCTCTATTTGTAGGAATCCTAATAACTTGAAAACAAAGCACAGTGGCTCGTAGCTAAAATTAATGCTGCTCCAGAAAATGTTTAGCCTTTGTTCGAAAATGTTTGTATCTTCTTCATAAAGTGAGGAATGGCTGTTGACATTAAGTTTAAGGATTATATATTGTACAAGTATAAAGAAAGAATTAAAGAAAGACTCATTATATTAACCCCTTGGCGTACTATTTACTTTCGCCACTAAGCTCATGTACCATTTTACCATCTACAATTTGGAAGAAATGCAACAGAACTGTCCATTCTACTTCAAGTGGAAATTTTATTTGAAGATAATACAATGATAATAGCAAAATAGTTGTTTGCTTTTCATCCGTGGGTAATGAATAACATCGATTGTTGTTAAATTAGTCTAAAAATCATCGCGAGTCATTGTACGGCAAGGGGTTAAATATTATTGATAATGTCAAGTGGAAATTGGGGGTGCTGCAGTTTCACAGTGCCTATACGCGAGCCGCCACTCACACAAAGCAGCAGCATTATTAAATTTGCATACATTCGCATTTGTTGGAAACGCATAAAATCCGCAGTATAATTGTTACAGATTTTTCCACTGCTCCACATACACCGCGGAGAACAGACACACGATACTCCCATTGTTTCCAACAATGCACGCTCCATTTAGTCCTCCTTAAGTCATATTCTTCGCCATGGTTACTCACCTGTATTCTCGTTCGGACGCCACCCCCCTCCACCCTCCGCGGCCGCGATAATACCTCTCCCGGTCTCCATGCAATCATCCTCCTCCGTTCCCGCCATTTTCCCGGCTACTGAATTACCTCTAGGAGATAATGGCCGTTCCTGGAATCTAGAACGGAAAAACAAGATGGTAAACATTAATGTGACACCGACACCTTTTCTCCAGCGAACAAGGGACAATCAAGAAACTTGCTTTCCACGAACGAGAGAATGGAATATTTAATGCTGACACATTCCTAACGGTCTCTAGCCTAAATTGAAGTGATTTCGTAATTATAAATCAATCGTATAACGTAAGAGACACGAAGTTAATTCGAATTAACACTAGGTTTACATTTAATGTACAATTTATTCTATTGGTCTTAAGACAATCGACGTTCGTTCATTTATATTTTGGGAATTAGTGATTAAAATACACATTTGTACTATTGCATCAATCAAAATCGTCGCAGATATTTACTAAATAATGTTTATAAAATTAATATGCGTCACATTGATTTCCGTAAACTTAGTGTTAATGTAAAAGTGAAATTCTTTAAATGTTTTCCGTTTCTAAATTAACTGTAGTACATACAACAGTAATTATCGTTAATTGATTGTAGACACTAATTAAACGTACAGATGAATACCGTGGATTGCTCGATTACCCCAAAAATTTCATTTTCCATGAAAGTAAACGAATAGTATCGAGAAAAGGAATATGAATTTATAAATGCACGTTAGCTGATTTTGTTTACAGCGGATTAATCCCGTTGCAAACTGAGCGAATTAAATATTGGTATTGCTGTGAAGAAATACCACTGGAAATCGCGTGAAGAATCAAACGTGAAACGCCCTGTATATGAGACTGCATTACTTCGCGAATAAATGATTATTTCGGACGACCGAAATGGAAGGCAAACAACGCTCATATTAGTACAGAAACATTTTCCCGCTCGCACGCGACGAATCGCTTTTACTCGCAAAGCTTTCAGTCCCATTCCCGGAATACGCATCTGTGCCAGTGATTTCTTTGTTTATTTTTAATTATAAAATGTGGCAACCGCTCAGTACGACCGGCTGCGTTTGCTCAACGAAAACGCGCAGGCTGTTTGTCAGCATGGGAATCCATACAAACCGTCCACGAAACGATAAACGAATGTTCTTCATTCCAAAACAATGTGTTTAACCGTATTCGGTTGAAAATTATTGAAAATATACGAGCCGGTTGACTCTTTAGCAGTCTTGACCATTTTAAACGATTAAAAACATGAAAACTACCTGAAAACAGTGATAATGTAGTTGCGCAGGAAACGTTGGGAACCAATCACACGCCATCTTGGATCTTTCGAAATTTGAATCAGAAGTGGACTTGGAAAAACGCGCCAATGCTTCAATCGGGACTGGAAGATACCAACATTATTTTGCACTGATTTCTTTGTTTCCTTAGACATGATTCGTTGAATTTATTTGCTTAAACGAAGTAAAGGTATTCAAAATATATATACCACGTTTTTTTATATCGATAAACCTCGATGAATTAATAAAATACACAAATTATTTCACAGAAACACTTCCGACGCGAACTCGATGAAATACGTTGGAACAGTACTGCCACGCCACCTGGATTATTTGAAAACTGTGAGTACTACATAAATATTAATACTAACTATTTTAATAAACTGTGGTACGATTACTTCGAAAGGCTATTATTATAATGGTAACACAGTATTGTTAATAATGAAGTATTATATTAATCATTACAGAAAACTGTTTATGAAAAGAAAAACATTACATTTGATCAACATGTGTAATTTGAAGAAGCAACGTTCGAATGATGGGTAAAGTTTTGGCGCCAACGCCATTGCACAAGGAATATGTAAATATAATTGATTTGTATACTGAATTATATTCTAACATTTATATTTGAGAAGTAAAAGAAGAATAGTAATTAATATCTATGAAAATGAGTAAAATTAACAAACCACTTTTAATGAGAGAAGACAAGATTCACAGTGGAAACGCAGTTATAATGGAGAAAGAATTTCCTGACAGGTGTTAGTTAAGTCACGACGAACAAAAGATGCGCCTTACTTTTGCGTTCAACTCGAGAAATCCGCCATTCTTATACTCTATTTTATCTGCTTGTCCAGAGAAGATTATGACGAAATAACCAACAAGAAATGTCAGAACTTCGTAGCCATCTATTGACACATATCCAAATTAAAATGAAAATGTTCCTCCTTGATAATTTGCAGTAGGTACTCATGATTGAAATGTTTAATTAAATGCATCATTCACAACTGAATATAATAAAGAGATATTAATCGAATCTCAAGCACACATTCAATAATTAAATGAACTTATGTAGAAAACAGTTTATGTTTTTAGGAAAGTATTTATTGTGAGACGAACGGCAAATTGACCTGCATGAGAGTGTACAATGACTAAGCAAATTTTTCCTGAAAGCGTAAAAGGTAGAAGAAAATCGAAGCCTCGGTGGCTACTCGACGTTGGAACTTGAAAAATTGTGTGGAGGTGGATACGTATGGATGGAAAACGATCTATAAAAATGGTAAGTTACATCGCCTACGCACATGGTATCGTCTCCTATGTTTTTTTCATATGCTGTATATCTTTGAGAATACGCAATTATACCACGCATAAAATTACACTATCGATTGTAATTTATCAGTATTCTTTATCATTATTTACAAACATAATTTTCTACACATTTCTCTATCATAGTAAAATGTTCTCTGAAAATGACACTTGTATGTTATTCTAACCAAGTAGATAAGCACAACTTCATTTTATTTGTATAGGATCCTTTGTCACCTGGCCCCTGTTTAGATATTAGTGATGATGAGCTGGTAACTATATCAGTAAGAGATCTAAATAGGCAACTTAAATTACGCGGTCTATCAAGAGAAGAAATAGTACGTATGAAACAACGTAGACGCACATTAAAAAACAGAGGATATGCAGCCAGCTGCAGAATAAAGAGGATCGAACAGAAGGATGAGTTGGAATCAGAAAAAACACAAGAATATCGGGATATGGAAGCTATGCAGGAAGACAACAATCGTATGAGAGAAGAAATAGAATCTTGGCACTCAAAGTATCTAGCATTAAAAAAATTTGCAGCAGAAAAGAAGATTCATATTCCACCAGAATTAGAGACTATTTAAAATTGAATAATGTTCCTTGTACTGGAAGGTAATAAAATTATTGGATTTCACATAGTCCTGCACAAAAGTTGCATAATGTAAAGGAATTACATTATTATGTCTAAATGCTGGTTATGTGAAAAAGATTATAGTGCACTTAAATATTGTGCACATAATAGATTAGATGTAAAATGACAAGATGAAGAAGCTACGATTACTAATATACAATATCATATGCTACTTATATGTGAATAATTTTTACTTGTATTAAAAGTTGAATGTTTTTACATAAACTATTTCACTATATTTGTTATTTCCTTACAAGCCTTTTCATTAAATACGGATCTTGTTTAATAAAAAAGTATTGTATTTTTTTCTGAAGATTTATACAATTTAATTTTCATTATATAATAAAAATATTAGTCTGCCAACTACATGTACATTAATTGAGTTACCCAACAGTCTATACTTTTGTTTGTCTGTTGTGTGCTTTGGAAATGTAAAGTTTTCTGGAAAGCACATTAATCTGCAAACTTCTCTAGGTGTAAAATATCTTAGCTTTAATTTTCCTAAGATTTCTACCACTTCTACTGATTCATGAGTGTATTCACTTGCTGCTGAATATGCTTCTTTAATTATGTTTTCTGAATAGGGACAATACACAGATCCTGTACCTTCTGTGTAATGACCATATGCTTTTGTGAAACAACAAGAACCACGACTTTCTGATGTCCTTATATCTAATACCCAAGCTCTCTTTTGTAGTAATTTGTTTGGTATTAGATATTGGGTTTCTTCAACATTTTCCAAAATCTTATCTAATGTATAACATCTTTTTTCCATACTAATTTCCATACCTGGTGTGCAACTTGTTTCTGCTAAAAAATTATGCTTACTCTTTGGTAAAGCTATTAAAACATCATCTGGCAAATTGAAATTTAATGCAGTGTGGTCAAAACAAAATTTGAGATTCTTTTTCTTAGCCAACAGATAATATCTGTATCTGGTATTCGGGATACCAAACTGACATGGACTTAAAATCAATTCTCTATAATTAAATCCACAATTATTAATGCATTTTAATACCTCATTTCTCATTTCAGATTTTTCAAAGCCTTTTACATTTTCAAGTAAAATATATTTTAACAATTTTATTTGAGGTATGAGTTCTAGAACATAAAATAATGAAGAAGATCTATTGTCCAATACATCTTTTTGAAGGCCTACCCTTGTGTATGGTTGACAAGGAGGGCTCATAAATATAGTGTCTATATGTAAGTCATTTATTTCTTGTGCAGAAATTGATTGAACATTGCGATTCATAAGACAAACATTTGGAAAATTGTGTTTATAAACATCATTTGCAACAGTATTTATATCCACTGCTGCAACACAATTCCCATGGACGCCACTTTCTGAAAACATAATTAGCTACTATATTTTTTGTAATTAATAGATAAAACATGTTGAGTAATGTAGGTTAAGTTTTCCTAAACAATGTATTTTAACATCTAATATCAAAATATATCACCTTGAAATGCATAATGCATTCCTCCGATACCGCTATATAATTCCAACACTCTCATAATTAATGATTCATTTGTAACTTCTTAATTATAGATACTAACATGTATCTTGTTAATTGTCAATAAACTAATCTTCTTTAATATTGGTGTGTTTTTTACACCTTTCTTGATGTTGTTTCATGTGCGTAAATAAAATTTAAATAAATTGTAATTTATGGAAACGAAAACTCCTTTGTTTTGTAATTAACAGACTTTTGTGAACAAAATTATTATAAATAATGGCAGCAAATGACAAAGAAGTAACCTAACATGTGATTCCATAGTCCGTTCAGTAATGGAGGGTAGGCTACGTTTTGCGTCGCACAAAATTTTACGTGTGTGATCTATGTTACTTTGAAACTCTATACATGGTGCAATAAAAAGATGTATAAAAAAGTAAGTGTGAATTTGTGAGCAATGTGATAATTAATTATTAGAGTAACGATAAGAATGAACAGTACAAAAACAAAAAATCTAACCTAAACAATGTGTCGATTTCTATTAGTATTTTGACAATTGCTTCAACGTTTACAAAAATTTTCATATGTACAGATTCGTATAGAGAATCTCCTATAATCTAGGTTGTCTTATTAAATGTTGATGCCCTTAGCGGTAAAAGAAACCAAAACCGAAATATGAGATTAACCCAAGGCACCACCCAAATGCGATCGCAATATTAAAACATGTTTCGAAGTCGAAGTTGGTTTGGAGGAGGGCTCTGGAAGCCCAAAAATCCTCATTCTTTGGAGCACCTTAAGTACGTATACACATTACAATATCTTTACCTTTTACATTACTTTATTGTTGTGTTGTACATAGGTATTTGTACAATGTCTTATCAAAAAATCAGACAGTGTCTGAGAACAATAGAGGTTTATTGGTAGAGACTCTTCGTTCCATAGCTGAAATTTTAATATGGGGTGATCAAAATGATAGCAGTGTATTTGAGTAAGTATAATAGTAATTATATTAATATATACATATATATTCATTATATAACAATTTCCCTCTGCTACAACTAACAACTTTATTTTTTATTGCCAGTTTCTTTTTGGAAAAAAATATGCTTTCATTCTTCTTACGTATTATGAAACAAAAATGTGGAAGCTATGTATGTGTTCAACTGCTACAGACACTAAATATATTGTTTGAAAATATACGTAATGAGACTTCTTTATGTAAGTATTTAATAAAATCGTCTGTTACAAATTTCAAATATTCATTAACTACAGTATTTTCTGTTTCCTTTTTTAGATTACTTGCTCAGTAATAACCATGTAAACAGTATAATAGTGCACAAATTTGACTTCAGCGACGAAGAGGTGATGGCATACTACATAAGTTTTTTAAAGACCTTAAGCTTGAAGTTAAATGCCCACACCATTCATTTCTTTTATAACGAGGTAAACGAGGTACACGTGATAATCCTCAGTGTCTATTGTTTCACTGTAGCCAATCTCATGTCCATTGATTTCAGTAGTAGCAGCCTGAGATATATTTATTTAACTTGACATTAAAAGCTTTAAATGTGTGTATAGTTTAATTAGTTAACGTTATCTTTTTTTATCGTGATCATTAATTCATCTTCATTACTTAAATTGCACTAGACACACTTAAAAAAGGATATTGTTTAATTTAATGTTTTTATTAGCACACCAATGATTTTCCATTGTATACGGAGGCAATTAAATTCTTTAACCACTCAGAGGGTATGGTTCGTATAGCAGTAAGAACCTTAACTTTAAATGTATATCGTGTAGAAGATGCCTCCATGCTCGTTTTTATAAGAGATCGCACTGCAGCACCTTATTTCAGTAATCTTGTATGGTTCATTGGCAATCACATTATAGAGCTTGACACCTGTGTCAGAAATGATGCTGAGTAAGTGAAACAAAAGTTACTAATGAAATGTAAATAATTATTCTGAGAACAGATTTCCCTGTACAAATATATATGTATACACATATGTGTTTCAGTCATCAAAGTCAAAACAGATTATCGGATTTAGTAGCTGAGCATTTAGATCATTTACATTACTTAAATGACATTCTCTGTTTAAATATATCTGACTTGAATAAAGTTCTGTCAGAACACTTGCTTCATAAATTATTAGTTCCATTGTACGTTTATTCGCTTACAAAACATAAGACTCTTTTGTGCCAAAATCAGGTATGTGTTCATTTAATAATTATAAAATTGTCATGTTCAAAAATAATGTTCTTTTTCTATTAATAGGATGAGAGAAAACATGTAAGCGTTGTAGTAGCACTATTTCTACTTTCTCAAGTGTTTCTAATAGTTTCCCATGGTCCTCTTGTACATACCTTAGCAGCAGTAATATTACTGTCAGACTTAGAAACAATTCAAACAGGTGCAAGTAAAGTGCTTGAAATGTATGGTGATATTACATCTAACAAGCCAATTGCATTTTCACCACCAAAAGAAAGCTTAGAAAAGTCACTAGAAAATTTGAGTGAATCCTTAAGTATGTCAGATGACCTTTGCGAGGAAGAATATAATTTGGAAGAAAGAAAACTTGATAACACGGTCAACAGGAGGATATCAGAAGACACTTATCCTAGTACCTCATTTGATACTGCTTCAATAGGAGATACACCTGTAGTAATGAGTTCAGAACAACTAGATATTACCATTCCAAATGAAGATATAGAAGAAATGAAATATTTAAATGTAACTGATGAAGAAAAAGAACAAAGGCTGGCCCTATCGAATAAGCCATTTTTAGAAACTATTTTGAATTCCTTATTTTGCACAGAAAACGACTATGCTGCCTTGTTTGCGTTATGTTTGCTTTATGCTCTAGCTAACAATCAGGTAAGAGCAGTCTGAAAATACTATATATTAATAGATATGGTACAACCCTGTTAATGAAATAAATTCTTCAGGGCATTGATCGTAAAACTTTAGATCCAATTTTATCCAATTCACAAAACTCTACGACAAGTTTATATAATGAAATTTTAATGGATAGACTAATACATATTATAACATTAAGTTGTCAAACAAGTAAGTCCATTTCCAGAATATATTCTTTAATTCTCCAAACTGTAATTTACGTTTTCACGAATGGTATTTTTATCAGATGCGAAAGTGAGACTCGTCACACTGGAATTGGCAATTAAATTATTAACGCAATTAGTAATGTCGGATGGACAAACGGTGTTAAAAGATTCGCATTTGGCAGCAATCGAAGCGGCCAAAGAACAAAGTACTTCGTTATTAAAAAATTTTTATAAGGTGCGCTGTGAAAACTGAATTATTCAGTTAATGTATCGTACGTGAGTAAAGAAAGTACCTTCATAATGCTTTTAGAGTGAAGACATATTTCTAGACATGTTCGAGGATGAATACAGTGAAATTCAAAAACGACCTTTAAACGTTGAGTGGTTAATGATGGATAGTAACGTTTTATTACCACCAACGGGGACGCCGATGACGGGTATCGAATTTACCAAAAGATTACCGTGCGGTGAAGTAAGTGTAGCAAACAATATCAAAACAAGGTCTTAATAGAATGTAAGTCATTAAGTTTATTGATAGAAAATAAAATTAACGCTTGCACAGGTGGAGAGGGCACGCCGCGCTATAAGAGTATTTTTTTTAATAAGAGAACTATCTTTAACTCTCAGTATGGAAGCGGAAACGCAGTTGCCTCTCACTAACCCAGCCAACTGTGTTCAAGTGGACCATGTTCTTGATCTAAGTAAAAGTTATTTTATTTTGTCATGTATTTGACTAGTATGTAACTTTTGAACTTTTTCAATAGATAACAGTGACTTGATCGCATGTACGGTTGTGTGGAAAGACGGTCAAAAAATTCGACGTTTTCTAGTCATTCACGTTCTACAGTTAATCATTGTAGAACCAGACACTAGTAAACTAGGCTGGGGAGTGGCAAAATTAGTAGGATTTTTACAAGATATTGAAGTAGCAGGCGACAAAGATGATTCTAGGTGTCTACACTTGACGATTTACAAACCTTTGAGTAGTACTACCGGCAACCGTGTTCCTTTGTTATCGACAAAATTTATCTTTGACGATCACATTAGATGTATGGCCGCCAAGCAGAGGTATGTCGGTGCTTTGAAAATTATTTAACAATTCATATTATGAACTTCACTTTACTTGAAGGCTAACGAAAGGAAGGATAAAAGCACGGCAAAAAAAGATGAATCAGATTGCGAGATTGCTTGACATTCCAACAAGTATGCCCCATTCTTCAACACCACCACCAAATTATGCTTTACGTGGTCTACGGCATGAACGTAGGTTATATTACGGAATTAAACTCGAATTAAGATGTAATCAATTCATAAAATAAAGCTAATTTAATATATATATTAATGTTAGGTTTTGTAGGACGCGGACAAAGACAGAAGGAACCGCGACCAATGTTCGTAGTAAACAGAGTACCTGGATTCGCAGCACAAATGCGTAGAGAAAGTAATGCCACACCTTCTGCTGGATTTGCATCGTCTACTCCCAAACGTAGTGATAATAATTCAACCGAGAAAAGTCAGGAGAATGGTTTACGATCTCGAGATAATTCACCGAAAATGCCGAGGCCGCGGAGTGAAGAAATTCCTTTGGAAGACATGCGTATTCGGAAAGCAACTTTAACGTCTACTGGATTGAGCATATCACACGTGTGTCCAGAAAAGAAAGAAGGTCCAGTTTCTACTTGTTCAACCAATGGCGAACCCTCAACTGTGATCAGAAAACATTCTGAAGAGACATCGTTTACCTGCCCGAAAGAAGTGAAACCACGTAGAAAGGGTCAAGTGGAAACAGTATGATTGTGAGAATTAAATAAAAGAAAAACAAAACATAAAACACAGTTTCAATTAAACTTTTTTTCAAGAATTTAAGGAAGAAATGGAAATGTACATGGAATCTTAATTTAATGAAAGAAATCCTTGTTCTGTGTAATAAAAAGTTTTACTATAGATACTTTCTAAATAATAACATGAAGGAGTTCCCATATTTGATCGTTCATTTAATGGAACTCTTGGGGATAATGTTGTAAAAAAAGACAAGGTAATGTGAATTCATTAAAAGGTCGACTATTAATGAAACTATTTTCAGTTCCTTTCTACTGTATAAGTATCTGTATATACATTTTCATCCCAGCATATATATATATATGCGTGAGTGAAGTAGAAGTTGACCTTTTCTGTTTAAATATTATAACTTGCCACTAGCGATTCTCCAACTAAGTCTTATATTTAATGTATGTACATATTACTGCTTGAAATTTCTATAAATTAAAATAAATACCAACAAAACCATTTTTTTTTCTTTCTATATATTGGGTTTTCATTTTACGAAAATTAAGCAGTCCTCCATTGATGATTATGAAATGTATATAGATATATTTACTTTTAAATTAACATTAGATCCCAAATCAATTTTAATCCTTATTAAAAAATTGCATAACGTATATAAGGTTTGCTAAATAAATGTTTATAGTATATATTACTAAACATTTAACTTTCTGTGGACGATCCATATCAAGTGAGAGACATCCAGTTTACTCATAAGTTGGAAGTCAATACCATTAGGACATTTCACGAGTAATTTCATTGTTTAAGAAAATAAAAAAGTAAAACAATGTATATATATATTTCTTCTCCATGTATAATCTTATGGAAAGTATCTTCGACATTTAAAAGAGAATTCTTAACCGCAAGAGGTCAACAATTGCTATTAATTTCTATTATGTTAAAAGTAAAATTTTTTTTTAGTAACTAAAATTATCAATACTAATTTAAAATAAAAATTTATGTTAAACTGGAAATTACCTTAAATGCATTTCTAATTATCGATAAATATTTATCCATATTTTTTCAATCAAAGGAAATTAACTCCGCTGTTTCAGGCTTTGAGTTTTCTTTCACTTGCACAGTTTCACTTGATGAGGGTGGCATTGAAGTTAGAGGCTGATATTGCAATTGCTGTCCTTGAGAAACCGCGTTTTGAGGTATACCTTGAGGCATTGTTGGTAAATTAGGAGGTCCTTGCGGGCCTTGCATGGTTTGGTTCGATGTAAGAATTGGCCCAGGTGCAGTTCCGGGCGGTACCACTTTAATGGTACCTGCTTCTTGAGATGAAATAGGAGGGTTCGAAATGTGTGACTGCATTGAAGATCCTTGAGGACCTGGTAACGTAGGTGGTTGTGGTCCCATCTGAGGTGGAAGACCGACCACTTGACCTGGTGGACCATGTGATCCAGGGCCCATTTGTGTAGGAGGTCCTATGTGACCTTGTGGAGGTACCTGAGGTATACCCATTTGGCTTGGTGGTCCTGGTTGCGTGATTTGTGGGGGAATACCTTGTTGAGGTGGGATATGTCCTGCTGTAGGTTGTGGTTGCGTCATATGACCACCTGGCTGTGCCGGTGGTGGTCCCATTTGATGGCCACCTGGTTGCTGTAGTTGCGGTATGGGATTTGTCATTTGAGACATCTTTGAAAGAGATGTATAAAAGGATCAAATGAAATGATTTATACATTTAAATATTTCTATGATATAGAGCACTTTGCAAATATTGGTGACATGAAACAAATGTAAATATCATTGAAAAATACTTACTATTCCGGGACCGGAAACGGTAACTCGACCTAAGGCTTCCTGCGCTGGAACAGAAGGATCAGTTGGTTGCGGTTCTTGATTAGGAATTGGTCCCATCATATGAGGTGGCATAGCATTCATTGAAGGCATATTGTATCCTTGCATTGGATACTGTTTTACAGGTGGCTGCCCATACATGTACCCTTGATTGGTTGGAGACATAGGATTATAATTGGATCCAGGTCCTTGATATTGAACATGGCGAACGGGTGAACCTTGAGACGGCCCCATGTAACCGGGTACAGCTTGATAGCCACCTACCAGTCGATAAATAAATTGTATGTTATACAATAATTTATATGACAAAATAAAAAAGAAACATTGCGAAACGTTTTTATGGCCTTACCCATTATATATTGTTGTTTCTGTTGCTCTTGTCTCATCTGCATTTCCCTTTCTTGTTCCTGAATTTTCTGTAAAGCCAATTGGCGCTGATACTGTAAATATTCTTGTTTCTTTTTCCTCATGATTGCTAATTTTTGAGCCATTAACATTTGTCGTTGTCTTTCAGCTTCCTCTGCTTGTCTTCTCAATTTTTCTCTATGTTCCTCTCGTAAAGCATCTAGAGCAGCTCTGGCATCTTTCATTTGTGTGAGTTTGTCTTGAAGACCCTCGTAGTATACTCTGCTATCATCTTGTTCTTGGATGTATCTCAATAATCTGCAGAGATTTGCACATTTTAATCAGGTTTAAACCTTTCAATCGCCTTACGATAATTAAGAATGTACTTTGAAACATACCTTGAATGCATAGCAGTGATGTTTAAAAACAACGTTTGAACTGAACTATCATTAGCAATCGATCTGCCTCGAGATGAATTACTCTTCATTCTATTAACAAATATTTCGACTTGTGATCGTAGAGCATTAACGAAGCCCTCCATTTCACTATCAACCTCTCCATTTTGTTGTTTCGCGACTACAATTTTCTGTGGCATCGGACTACTTATATTTGGAGCAGAGGGACTCGTGACATCGACTCGGGAAACGTGCTCTTCTATCGCAGTTTGTCGTTGTTCCCAATATTTTCGATTTAAATATTTTGCAAGCTCAGGATCAATTTCTTCCTCTTCATGCAATTTCGAAGGACTTGGACCCTGGAAAGTAAAAGTTCCTGTAACTTCTTAATGTTATAACATTAATTAAAGAACTAACAGGTGATGGTGGTGGAGAATATGTTGCCCTATTCGAAGTGCTTGTATTTGTCTTGATTGTATTAGTGGTCCGTTTCTTTTCTGTTTCTTTATGTTCCGCTTCACTTTGACTTAAGGCAATAGCAAGATTTAGTTCTTCTTCCTCCTGAAGTTCTGCTGCTGTCTTTTTAGGTGGCACCTAATAAAATGGAAGTGAAATTTAATGTACTGTGTTTAATGAAGATTCTTTTGCATAGATATAATATACCTGCTGTTGTTGAGCCAAAGAGCTGTTAAGATATTCAGCAGGTAAATCAGCTTCTTTAATTTGCACTGCAGAAGGTCTACAGAAAAATATTAGGAGAATAAAAACATTAGGAATAAAAAAGTAAAGAGAAAATGGAAAGTAGAAAATTAAAAGAATTTGTGCTTACTTATTAACTTGCTCATAACAAGCTTCACAAACTCGGACTTCTTTCTCAATTCCAAACTTAGGCAAAGTGGAAGCTTTACTTGAACACTGACCACAAAATACTTGACCACATGCTCTACAATGATGTTTTCTTTGCACTACGCTAAATGAAACTCTACAACGATGGCATCTGCCATCACCATCTGCCCATACTGGAGCAGTATCAGCAATAAACATAGCATCACTTTCTTTCAAAGTAGGAAATTTATATCCTTCAGCTTTCATGATATTAAGTGTGTCCTATAATATACATTTTATATTGATAATGTTCATATTACAATAGTAAAGAGAGAGATATATGTATATGAGTAATTGGACTTCACAAACATACTTGGACTGCTCTATATTTAAGGCGATTACGAAACGCATGCGCCCAGGCTTGAATCAATTCTAAAGTTTTAAGTTTAACATTTTCATGAGTTGTTGTTCTTACTAGTTCTTTCAATTGTTCCATGTATTGTTTGGTACCAATTTCATCATGAATCAATGTACCACAATTTTTTACACAAGATTCCAAGACCTAGATTTAAGAAGAATCTTTAAAATATATTTCATGTTTTAATAAGAGCCTTTTCATCAAAATGATTAATCTTAATATTCCTCACCAATAGAGCATACAAAGCCACATGGGGATTAGGATTGGTCATTTTCTTCTTGATTGCTGCAAGTGCCACCTTAGGTCTATATGTACATAAAATACAATATTTTATTTTCTTACCCAGAAAAATTCAATAATTAATTACTATAATGTATAAAAACGAGAAGGAACATTATTGAATATTAATGAAATTTTGTTGAGAATACGTATGGAATACGAAATCAATCGATATCAGTCTTCTGTGAAATTAAACGTCACGTTTACATCGTAATTAAGGAAATAATAGGTTAGTTGCAAGTTAGATGACATTATGCACTTACTGTACATCACCCTGACGAATTAAATCACATATTTGAAGAATCGGAACCCAGTCAGGCTCAAGCTGCAATTGACTGGTCGCTTTATCTATGAAAGTTTAATTAAATTCATTAAAACTTGAAAGTCGGACATTTTGTTGGCCTGATTGTTAGTAAAAACTTACCCAATAATTTATCAAAGTTAGCCGAACTACGAAACATTTTGTTGCACCGGATACAATCGCGTATTACTTATAATTGTTTCGTTTATTTAGCCTTTTTACAACTATTTCGCTACACCTTATAATTAAATTGAGAAACTTCGTCTGACAACCACCTATACGTCGATGGCACTGCTATACTAACATACAGCAAAATATGAGTCACATCACCGATGGTTAAAATGGTTATCTACCGCACCACGATAACCCGAGAGTCAATAACAAAAATGAGAATTCCCTCTCGTCCACTAACATTCAATGGTGTATACAATGAATTTTGAATTGTCAGGCACGAAATACTAAAAGGTACACAAATTATCGTTAAATATTTGTTTGAGTAGAATCAGCTTGTTGAATTCGTCTGGATCAATATTGCGCATTAACAATTCTGAATCGTAGAGTTCGGCGTATGGTTTCATCGGTAAATGTCGCTGTTTGAAATTTACGTGCTTTTTTAGAATATTCAATTATTAATGTTAATCTACGTTCCACAAACTTTAACGTCTATATTCGACGAGAAAAATATTCCATAGAAGACTATAGACAAAAGGATTCCTCTTAAATCCGAGTTACTATACTCGGTTTTTTTTTTAAACCCCATAGACGTCTTTCTTCTTTCTCAATTTAATAATTTTGGAATTTTATAGCATGGGATTGAAGGGATAACAATAAACGAAAGTAAATGTCAAGTTTTTAATTTTTGAGGTATGTATTTCAACTTTCCAGTTCTTTCGGTTTTCCAGTGACGCGGGTAGATGGCGCCGCCATTAATTTTCAACGATGCTCGTCCTATTCAATATTTTATTGTTACAATGTTACTGGTAAGCAAATACTTACTTATACGCACACTTAGAAAGATTTATAAAAGGTTCATCAAACTCGCTGTGTCGAGAATCTTATCATTTATTTATATCAGTTCCAAAAGAGATCTAATACAAACACACTTGGTACTCATACGCAATTCGACAATTACACTAACCGCCTCTATTCTAGATCATGCCAAATCTGTTGAACGTAGGGCTCGCTTACTTTAAATAATAAGTATCTAGCACCGATATCACTTCACGATATCTCGACGTCACGAAACGACACCAAGAAATGTCTGCAGCATTTTTGACCGAGGAATCAACGATCGGTATCATTGAATTGCGATTATATACACAATCATCTTTGCGAAGCTATTGATACTTTGTACTGCGTTCAGAAAATGGCGCGTAGTCGATGTAACAAATCATTTCGGCGCGTTCAAGCGTATCCGTTCAGAACGAAAGTAAGTATTACATGCATCAATCGCTATTCCCATTGTCTGTGTCGTTCATCAGTACTCATACATTCACGCAGGACAGAATACAAATGTTACAAAACATTTTCGGAGGGGAATTCTTTATAAACGCGAACACGCAGACGCCAAAGTTGATTAGCTTAATAAATACAAATACGGTATAAATTACTGAATATAGCTGCATATTGTATACGAGTCCCGCAACCAAAAATCCCAGCGCGTTCGCGATGCTCGGTTTTCCAGCAATTTTTCTAAACCCGACGAGAAAAACTGCGGAAAAATTATCGATTGGTTGGCCAGTCGTCAGTCGACAACATAAAAGTTACCAAGGACCGAACGACACCATTATATCTATATACCTAATTGATTAGAAATCACGACAAGATGGCTGCTGAAGATCCATGGAGCACATCTTCGCGGGATCTTCCGCAGCCATGTTGCGAAGACAATGTTCCATTGTCTAACAATTGATTTTTCTCTCCTTAGAAATCATGAAATGATTATTGGAAAATGACCTGAGAGTTATACTGTCCTTTCAGACCTCTGAAGGATTTTTAACGAGTCAGAAAGTGTTCTCTGAACGCTTAGAAGAGACGTAGACTTCTGGCCGAGAGATTAGAGTCTTCAACTGGTATTTGCCATCGATTGTCCCAGAAATCGCTCTTTGTTCTATAAGACATATGAGCGCACATCGGCAAACGCGTGGCGCGTTCGCATCGCCTTGAAATTGACCAATACAAGAAGTTCTCCGGGCACTTGTACAAATAACCCTGAAGATTGTTCCTGGAGTCGCGTTTGCATTTGAAGAATGTGTTGCTGCAGCCTTGCCTGTAAGGATAGTGTCCTTCCCCTGGACAGAGCGGTTCAGCCGACACTCTTACCTGAAAGTAGACATTGATATTCGTTTTGTTTATTATTATTTTATTCGTTTTATTGTTATAGATATTAAATATGTGTACTTACAGGGGACACAGGACTCGCCTCCAATTTTCTGTTCAATCTTTCACTGGTTGTGGTACCCATGCAAGCTTGACTGGTCTTATTTTCGGGCAGACACTGTATCTTCTGTTCGTCGTAAATTGTATCTTTCGGACAGCTCAGTACCAAAATCTTATACTCCATATCAGCTTCATTGGTACATTGATAGAACAGATTGCAGTACTTCGAATGCCTTCGGAAGCCAGTTGGGCAAACTAACGTTATCTGGTCAGCAGTTAAGTTTCCAACTGGACAAGGACGTGTTGTTGTAGGCTCTGTAGTAGTCTCAACGGATGAAGGCGTTGTACTAATCATCTCAGTTATAGACTGTGGATTAGGTTCGGTTGTAGACTCGGTAGTAGCCTCGGATGTAGATTCGGTACTGGACTCTGTAGTTGCTTCAGAAGTGGACTCAATGTTCGCCTCGGAGGTAGATTCTGTGGTAGCCTCAGATACAGATTCCGTAGTTGATTCTGTAATCAATTGGGTCGTAGATTCTGTAGAGGTTTCACTTGTAGACTCCGTAGTTGCTTCAGACGTGGATTGTGTCGTTCCTTCAGTTGAAGATTCAGTAGTTGCTTCCGATGTAGACTCCGTCGTTGCTTCGCTTGTCGACTCCGTAGTTGCTTGGCTTGTGGACTCCGTCGTTGGTTCACTTGTAGACTCCGTCGTTGCTTCACTTGTAGACTCCGTCGTTGCTTCGCTTGTAGACTCCGTCGTTGGTTCACTTGTAGACTCCGTCGTTGCTTCACTTGTAGACTCCGTCGTTGCTTCGCTTGTAGACTCCGTCGTTGGTTCACTTGTAGACTCCGTGGTTGCTTCGCTTGTGGACTCCGTCGTTGGTTCACTTGTAGACTCCGTGGTTGCTTCGCTTGTGGACTCCGTAGTTGGTTCACTTGTGGACTCCGTCGTAGCTTCGCTTGTAGATTCCGTAGTCGGTTCACTAGTAGACTCTGTGGTCGAATCAGTAATATCTGCAGAACTGGTCGCCGTCGAAGATTCCGTGGAGCTTTCGGTGGAGGTACTGGGAGTAGACGTTGGCATATCGCAATCTCTTGGAGGGTAAACCGACTCAGGATGGTTGCACACGTTAATACTAGGATCGAATATGGTTCCAGGCCCACAATTGAAGTGGTACACGTTGAAACCGTTTTCATTGGCGACGCAGCGGTAAAATTTATCGCACTGCGTCGGATGTGGATAGAAACCTTCTTTGTTGCAAACTATAGTGTTGTTCGGTGCCTTTGTGGTGCAGTCGGGACCGCTGGAGACAGTTGACGGTGTGCTTGATTCTGAACCTGCTGCTGTAGACGAAGGTTGCGAAGTACTCGTAGATTGAGTATTTTCCGGTGCCTTTGTGGTTGCCTCAGTTGAAGAGGAGCTAGTGGGGCCAACTGGTGGTGTTAGACTAGTGGACGGTGTGCTTGACTCTGAACTTGTGGCTGCTGTCGACGAAGGTTGCGAAGTACTCGTAGATTGAGTATTTTCCGGTGTCTTTGTGGTTGCCTCCGTTGAAGCGGAGCTAGTGGGGCCAATCGGTGGTGTTAGACTAGTAGACGGTGTACTTGCAGTGGGTCCGTGATCAATCTCATTGCTTTCCGTCGAACAGGAAACTTGACTTATGTAATTGCACGTTTGGATGGACTGGTCCCAAGCTGTACCCTCCGCGCATGCGAAGTCGTATCTTTGGAATCCGTTTTCGCTTGGCACGCAGCGATAGAATTTCGTACAGTCGGTTGGATTGGGGAAGAAACCTTCGGCCGTGCACTGTGATGTTCCAGGAGACAAAGCGGCCGTAGTAGATTGCGCGCCGGTTGTCGTCGTTGTCGTAGTTGTCGATTCCGCAGGGGGCAAGTAAGAAACTGATTCTGTAACACCTGATGCTGTGGATTGAGTTGTGCCTGCACTGGGAGTAGTCGTTGCTGAAGGAGGTAGTGTCGTTGACGAGACTGCTGTGGAACTACTGCTTGGTGCGACGGTTGTTGTGCTAGTGGAGGATGAAGCGGTTGATGGACTAGAGGATGCGGGACTTGATGAAGTACTTGACGATGAGGCAGTTGTTGACGAGGCTGCTGT